CACGCTGGCTGCTGGTAGGAGCTCTGGTGCTGGAGGCTCCTCCATCCTTATCTCTAACTGGGCCCCATCCCAGAGAGACGAGTGTTATATCAGGCTGAGTGGGAATCGAACGGATCCAGACTGTTGCTGTTTGAGTCGTGTGTTTGGGAGGAACTGATTCCTCCTCATGAGGGAGGAGGAGAATGAACTGATCTCTGTTTTAATGGATATACTTTAGCAACATTAATAGTTATGGTTCTCCACTTTTGGGACTGATTTTCAGTTATCAGTTGTTCTGTTTTGTTGTTTTTCTTTTTTTATTCATTTTATGTATGTTTAAGCAGTCTTTGGTTGCTCTCTGCCGCCCCCTTGTGTCTCTCTCCTTTCCCAAAGCTCCCTTCTAGTCTCTTCCATCCACACCTGCTCCATATCTGCTGATTAACCTGGTCTTTCTTCAGCCTCCCATTTATACACCTCCTGTTCAGTCACTCTTTGCTGGGTCCTTGTTGAGTATTAGTTGCTTCCTCGTCTCTGCCTCTCCACGTGAGTTTGGCCTCATGTTTGCTGTTTTTTTTGGTTTTCAGTATTTTTGTGTTTTGGATGTTTGCCTCAGTTTTTCATTACATCCATAAGAACTCATCTCTGCCTCCGTCATCTCCTTTTGGGTCTTCAAGCAACCACACCGCCCTTATTGATGTTGAATCTGAGATTAGAAAATATAAACATAAATCTCCACTGGATGTTTATTTTTGTCTTTTTTTTTTTTTTACCGTTCAGTTTGAGTCCCTGAGGTCAAACTGTACCAGATAAGTACCATAAATAAGTACCAGATCTACCCGTCACCAGTGTGACGGGTAGATCTGGTACTTATTTATGACCACTTATTGTTTATTCTGCTCCAAACACAAACCATTAAACTCATTAATACACTCTTTTTCACCAGTATTTTTTTTAACCAGTTTCCAGAATCACTGCCTCCCAGTCTGTTAGTTACAGCATGTAGTTGGTTCGGTGCAAAGTGTTTGTTTTATTAGACCAGAAATATCTCATTAGATTAATCATTATTCATCATTAAAATAATCTCCAACTTACTTAATAATCTGGTAATCATTAGCGTGAAAAGACAGAGTCTAAAACATGTTAATTGTTAAACAAACCAGCCAGTCTGAACAGGAACTAAAATGAAAACCTCCAATTATTACAGAGTATAAGCATTGTAGATGAGAAACCTTCTTTCTGTTTAGAGATATTCAATCCAGAACTTCTCATGTGACAGTTTTAATTTCTACTGGTTCAGATTTGGAAAAGAAAAATCTACAAAGCACCTTTTAGCCATCTGATCAATTAATTAATTAAAAACATTTAAGCGATTAGCCTGCTAGCATGCTTCTGATTGCTTGGAAAAGTCTCATCCCTCTTCCTGTGAACAATAGGCAGCTGTCTCCTCCTGGTGAAGCATTTTGGTCAATAAATAAGGGCTTCTGCTGTGCCCACTCTTGCAGCCCCATGTGCAGCAGCATCGTCAGATACAGAGAAAGCTCCTCCATGTGGAGCTGTCAGCTGCGATTAGAGCTGGAGCTGATGAATAACTGAAGTTAATGCAAATTCTGTTAACGCAAGGCTGAATGCAGACTGAACGCTTCCACATTTCATCAAAACACCACAGATCGCCGTGTGTTAGCAAAGATTTAAGCAGGACTTTTCTACTTTTACTGGTTTACACCAACATGGAGGATGTGTCTAACGCAAAACATTTTAGCTTTATTTTTAAAGGATGAATTATTTTTTCCAAATTTCTTTTTATTTCTCTGTGTGCCTGAGCAGTAGGTTTACTTTATGTTACTGGGTTTGTTTTAGGAAGCATAACCGCACAGACTGGTGTAGGAAAATATTAGATTTGCATTTAACGTGTGGCTTCAGTAATGAGGTGGGAGCTTTAACTGGACCCACATAAAGGCTGGACTCTCCTGCGCTGGCTTAGATGGTGGGGGAAAACTACACGGTGAAACACGATGTTTGGTTCGAAGGAACCTCATAAGAAACAACCCTGAGCCTGGATCAGATTCATCTCATTTGATTTAAATGATTGGAAGAAACAGCATCACTAAACATGTTCTGCAATTATACATATATAAAAAAAACTAGAGAGTGTGTTGGATTTATTCGTCCACTAGTC